ACACACACACACACACACACACACACACACACACACACACACACACTGGCTTAAGTGCTTACCTTTAAGCAGTCTTTGAGATGTGAGCTTTTGGAATATTGGAAGGTGGGCAAGTATTTGGCCCAAAGGTCATGGTTGGAGGGCGGAGAGGGGAGGAGATCCATCATCGTGGTTATTGCAAACCTTGGCTTCTATTAGAGTTTGGTGCACTGAAAAGCTAAGACAGCTCTTGGGAAATCTCTGATTAGCTAGCACAGTTTGCTGTGACAGCCCTGCCCTAAGTTTCTCCAGGGCAACTCAAGACCTGATGTCATGATTTGGCTCTTGACACGTAGCTGGGAACCAGACTCCTTAGAAATTTTAAATGTCTCAGTAGGTGTGTCTGTGGCTTGGTAAATTATGTTCTGCCTGAGTAACCCAGTGAGTACGTTATTTTATATTACAATATTTTAATTTAAAGTAGTGATTAAGAGTGATGTGTAACCATCATAGCATTTTTCCTTATGGTTTTCTTGGCATAAAACAAAGACTAGGTCACCTTCTTGGCACAAATAAAATTAGAGACTCATCTCATCAATTAGGATATGTAAGTTAGAGTGTCGGAAATATTTTTGTGGGTATGAGTGATTTTCTAAGTAGATTTGTTCCTAGAAAGTTGAAGACCTTTGAATTGCACACTTTCCACTTCCTTGGACATATACTATAATAACTTCCCCTTCCTTCCCAAACCCTAGCTAGCTGATGGGACACTTTAACTGAGGAGGTGTCAGAATGGAAGATGGTCACAGTATCCCAGGGTCCGGTTATTCCTGTGAAGGGCCAGGGCAATTGTGAGCACAGGCATTGGCAGGTCTCTTTTGGGTCAGTCAGAGATGACCCCTCTAGGGAACACAGGAATGCCCCCCTTCCCCATGGCACAAGGGATTGGCAGTTTGACTACGATTAACAGGGCTAACTAACCTATTAGTCAGTGACCTGCTGTCCACCAGGAAGGGCTTTCATTCCTTATGTTCTTGAACTTCTACTGTGCCAGGGTCTGTGGACACACCAGGAACGGGTGCAGTTCCAGACCTCAGACATCTCGCATGCGGGTGCATGAGTGCTGGCAGAAAACTGAAGCGGAGGGCATTTCCCAGGCACAGTGCCCATCCTGAACCCAGTGTCATTTCCTAAGGCTAGCATTCATGAAATATGTCAGTTTGATGCCCAACTCCTAAGGTTTATACAGAGTAGATACCCTCACATTTATTCACCTTTTTAATATTGTAAACAGGCTTTAATAATTGTGCATTCTGGGCATTATGTTCTAGTCTTGAATGTTAAAGAAGTTGGGGTGCACAAATCTTCCCAGGGGCTCATTCTCCATGGCCCTTATGCAGACTGGAAGACCATCTTTCCAGCTTTCATATGCTCTGTAGATCCTTTTGCAAGAGCTGACTTTCCAACTTTTATATTGATCAAAAACTTTATAATTAGGATGTAACTTTAAATTTTGTCAAAAGTCTTCATTCTTTCTACCTTCTTGGTCATTCCCTTGTTTTTGTTTTTTTGTTTTTGTTTTTTTTAGATTTTTATTGGGGAATTGGGGGAATGGGAACAGTGCTGGGGAATTGGGGGAAGGGGAACAGACAAGTTGCTGTCGTTTTGTTCTTCAATCTAGTTGTGGAGGATGTNACTGAGGTGTTTTTTGTTAATGGAGGTCTGTGAGTGAGTGAGAGAGAGAGAGAGAGAGAGAGAGAGAGAGAGAGAGAGAGAGAGAGAGAGTGTGTGTGTTGGGGAGATTTTTTGTTTGTGGTCATTGTACATATTTTAATTCTATAGTATCTTAAAATAAAGTCACTTCTAACCCAGTGTCTATTCCAGCATGACAGAGAATTATTTTTTCCCTCTCTGCATAGTTTCCTAATTAAGAAAACTAGCACTCAGATTGATGCCTGTACTAAATGACAGTATAATAAAAAGTGAATTGTACAATTTTAAACATAAGGTATTCTTAATATAAATATTTTTTAAAAGATTTATAATTGTGGACATTAAAATATTTTTCTTTAAAAAAAAAAATCCCCGCAGGCAATCTGCGGCAATGATCAACATTGTTTTTAAGATCCTACATTAAGAGTCTACATCATCTTCGGCTCTGTGAGTGACAGCAAAGAAAAAAAAATCTATTCACAATATTTATTAAGAACTTTCTATATGACTAATATTTTCTTGAATATTATCCTGAGAATTTTGGTGTGACTTTGTTGTAGAACATACATGAAAATGATCTAAGAGCCCTTGGGGTGGGGATGGGGGGCCATGCAGGAAAGGATCCATAAATAGCGTAGTGCAAACTACATTCCCCATGTTCTGAGAGAATGGGGATTGTGGCATCACTGGAGCAGGGTGGGATTTCCTTGGGGGAAATTATGTTCAAGAATCCTTGTCTGTTTATTATTATCTTCGTGTGCCCACCTTTCCTGTGTTGATACCAGTGTGTACATTTGAATGGAATTGTGACATCAGGCATCTTTGTGAGGCATTTGGACAGACTCCTCAGTAAAATGCTGGGCCACAGTTTTCAAATGGATCAAATACACATATGTAAAAGGAAACAACATGTATAGAGTTCTGCTTTAAAACTCAGACGTTCATTAGCCTCTGCTTCTGGAAATTCAAGAGTAAAAGTTATATGCATAATTATTTCTTAGTCCCTTTAAGATTGGTGAGAATTAGAGATTGAATTTCCTTGACTTTGAAGTGATACCCGGGCGTCATGCACATATGAGGGTGTTTGGATGTATTTAGGCTACAAAGTTGAAATTCTAGGGTCTCTCCATGTTGTACATCATTGTTAAAATATGTTATTGCTATGACTGAGTGTGGTATTTTCTTTGGAATCAATGTGTCTCAAATAGCCAGGGAGTGATCTGCAATTTCCTGTCCTGTCTTTTTATTTATACAAGGAATTTAATAATACTATGTTCATGGAATAGTAATGTGTGGAGTAAAAGTTTATCTTTTGAAAATATAAATTGTAAAATCATTTTCTTAATGGTGAAAGAGATTAATATGGGGAATATAGCCTTTGACCTCTATGTGGCCTCGACTCAGTTCGCAGATGTGCCCAGGCCGGGTGTCACTCCAATAGGGAAAGGCTGATTGCCAAGAACTAAAGGTGATTATGGTGCACTAGTGGGATTATGAGTATTTTTTCCTTTTCCTGTTGAACATTTTCTATGTTGTTATTATATCATAATTAAAAATAATACATTTTTAAGGTACTGCAATTCCATTTAAAACTCTAGTTCCAGCCTTTATGGAAAGGTTCAGATATATAAATCCTTCCTAGAGGCAATCTGAGAAAATAACACAGAAATTAGGTGATTATGAAGAACCTTGTAATGTTTTATTCTCCTCTTCACCCATAAATGTCTTTCAAAAGAAATGGCTACAAATCTAGTTAAGTATTCAAAGGTATTTTCTTTGTTTTTTCCTGAATATTTGACAAATAAGTACCCTGAAGACCATACAATAACTGTTTCGATCTAAAATGTAATTCAAGTACATAAAAAAACCTACCTAACTAACCAACAGTGCGGATAAAAACATGGACCCTCATTCCGTTTGAGGGGAAGTTGTATTGTCTGGTTCACCTGGAACCTTGGAAACTGACACCCTGAATTCCCTTATGAAATACTGCCTCCCAAGGAACTCTGTGGAAGGTTGTATTATCTCTTAAGCCCTGGCAATGATATAGTCAGGCTTAATGAGTGCCTGTCTGTTCCTTTATTCCTTGTGGGTAGCAAGGAAGGCATTGAGGTCTGGCACACAGTAGGTGTTGCTCACATGCTTTCCCTCCCCAAGGAAGTCAAAGCCTGAACTAGAAACTCTTAAATAACTGTCCTCTCTGGCTTATTGCTCACTATATCCTTAGTACCCAGCACCTAATAAGTGCTCAAAAGTTAGTTATTGAATGAATGAGTGCTCTTGTTCCTGCGTATCTGCAGCCACTCTGAGCATATAGTATGCAGCTTTTCCTTGGCCACTGGGCATGCCCAGTGTCTGTGGCCTCAAGACTCTTGATTTGACTCTCTAGATCTGCACTGTCCAATATGGTAGCCACTAACCACATATGGCCGTTTACATTTAAATGTAATTAAAATGACATAAATTAAATAATTCAGCCCTCAGTTGCACTAGCCACATTTCACGTGCTCAGGAGCCACACGGGAGTAGCGGTTACCATACTGGGCAGCACAGACACAGAGCACCGCCATCAAGGCAGAAAATCTCTTCAGAGACAGGACTGCTCCCTGCCTCCCTGAGCACCGGCTTATGGATTTCCTCTTGGTTTGTGTTTGCAGTGCAGCTGTCTGCTTCAGGAAGTGAGCTCTACAGGAACAAGGAGAATCTTCACGAACAGCCTCGCCTTGTGACATGTCTGATTCCTCGCTTCAGTCCCTGCAGCATGAACAAGGTAAGACGTGCTCCAGGGACTCAGCACATGTGCCTCCTTTATGGTACCCCGATTTGTTTTCCGGGCACAGAATGTCTTTCCGTGTTGCGAGGAGGTTGCTTCTGCGAGAAGCCTTCGAGAGGTTGGAGAGTTGTGTGACCCCAGAACGCAGAGTTCACAGGCAGGGTCACAGGAGCTGCTGGCTGCTCTGTGGTTGTATAGTCCTCTGGAGGTATCACCTGTGTTTGCCAGAGGCCTCTGAGCTGCCAAAATATTGGTTGTTAGTATAACTGTCTTGATATGAATATTGGAAGATGAAGACTCTGGAACCAGGCTACCTGGGTATAAATATCAGTTCTTTCAGATGCTAGCCTCAGCGACCCTGGGAAAGCAGCTTAACTTCCCTGTGCCTCAGTTTCCCCATCTGTGAAATGCTAATGATAATGGTACTTACTGCCTAGGGTTGTTGCAAGGATGCAATGAGTTAATATGGGCTCCAGTGCTGAATATAATGTCCACATTATGAGCATTTAATAAACATCTGCTGTTGTTGTTTTTGATGTTGGGGACACTGTTGTTCCTTAGACATTGTTGCTAGAGAGTCTTCGGTGCATCTACAACATTTCTGTTTATTTCCTGATTGGTTCAGCAAGCAGTGAATGATTACTAGGTGGGCACTCTGGGGAAGAATGATGGATGAAGCTTCGGTCTTGCTTTCAGCAGGTGACAGATAATTTGGGGGCGGTGTGGCTGGTGTTCTAATGAAGTATGTTCCAGAAGCTCTGGAAGCTCAAAAGAAGGAACCTCCAAAGCTGGGGCATCTGGAAAGGGCAGTATAGAGGAGGTGACATTTTGAATTGGATCCTGGATGATAAATGGTCATTTCTGGAACCTAGAAGTGTAAGGCAGGACATTCCAGTAAAAGAAACAGCCTACGTTTAGGGACAGAAGCATATGATAAAAGTCTGGCATATTTAGAGAACAACCAAGAGTATGGTGCTGTGGGGGCAGGATTCCTCAAGCTGGACACTGCTCACATTTGGACCAGATAATCCTTGTGCAGTGAGAGGCTGGCTGCTGCATTGGAGGATGTTAAGTAGCATCCTCCTCCCCTCATATCAGTTGTGACAACCAAAAATATCCCCAAGACATTGGCCAGTGTCCCTTGGAGGGACAAAAACACCCCAGGTTGAGAATAACTGCACTGGTGGAAAATGGCAGATGTGAGCCGAGAGGAGGTACGGGTTCGATTCCGAGAGCCACTGAGGGATTTAAAACAGGGAGAGACGTTTCTTGAGACCTGCAAGAAAAGATAAGTTACTGCGTTATGTGTGGGCTGGCATGGAGTTGGATGGCACTTTTACATGATTTGGTCCTAAAAAGGTATTATGCAGTCCTTAGGCTTTTGGAAAGCTCATTTGCCTTGTTGAGATTCTTTTACTAATTACCCTTTTCCAGTGTTAACTTTTCTCATAGCCATTTGTTTGGCCTTCTCAGGGGCTACTGCTTTATCCTATCTGAAGATATCAGGAAAAAGTAAGCAATTATTATTTTTTTTGAGATGTTTTCATTTATCTGAGGCAAGCCAAAGAACATGAAACCTTGTGCGGACTCCCCCACCCCCCCACC